AATATGCACTGCCTAAGTGTGTGGCAAAGGCAGGTTCAATCAAAGCTTCTCAGTGAAATGGAAGCATGTGCAGGATTATAGAGAGAAGGCGGGAGAATGGGATGTCCAGGGTCCCAGGACAGACAGAGTGGGCTGAATGGCCTCTCTCTGCATCGCAGCAGCTCGGTTTCTGCTGCAAAGTGAGATTTCCCTCTCGGATGGAGAAGGGCAATCTAAAAACATGGCTGCACAGGATGATTCTGAATTGTAGTTGCATTCAGACGGTCAACGATGATTGCATTTAAGTAGCACACCGAGAAGAAGTCCCAAAGCTCTTTACAGGATTGTGGAACCCAATGTGACATGAGAATAAGAAGATGTAGCTTCGTTCCAAAAGGCAGGCTTTGAGGAGAAATAAAGTACTGCAGATGCTGGGATGGTCATCAACAATCTGTCCTGGTCCACTCACGTCGAGCACAACAATGTCTCTTCTTCCTCGGGAGGCTAACGAAATTCAGTATGTCCACAAGGGCCTCTTACTAATTTTTTACAGATAGACCATAGAAAGCACCCTATCTGGGAGCATCACAGCTTGTTCTGGCAATTGCTCTGCCCAGGACTGTAAGAAACTACAGAGAGTTGTGAACACAGCCCAGTCAATCACACAACCCAAACTCCCATCCATTGAACAAAAACCGAAAGAACTGTGGATGCTGTAAATCAGGAAAAAAAACAGAAGTTGCTGGAAAAGCTCAGCAGGTCTGGCAGCATCTGTGAGGGAAAAAAGTCAGTGTTAATGTTTTGGGTGCAGTGACCCTTCCTCAGAACTGAGGAAGGCTCTTGAGGAAGGGTCACTGGATCTGAAACGTTAACTCTGTTTTTTCCTTCACAGATGCTGCCAGACCTGCTGAGCTTTTCCAGCAACTTCTGTTTTTCTTCCATCCGTTGAATTCATCTATACTTCCCGCTGCCTTGGGAAAGCAATCAAAATAATCAAAGACCCCTCCTACCCCAATTATACTCTCTTCCACTCTCGTCCATCGGGCAGGAGATAAAGAAGTTTGAATACACGCACCAACAGATTCAAGAACAGCTTCTTCCCTGCTGTTATCAGATTTACGAATGGGCCTCTCAAATGGTAATTCTGATCTCTCTCTCTCTCTGCACCTTCTCTGCAGGTGTAACATTTTATTCTGCACTCTGCTCTGCTCCCCTGATGCGCATTGTATAGAATGATCTGCCTGTACAACAGGCAAAACAATACTTTTCACTGTATTGCAGTACATGTGACAAAATTAAATCATTAAGTCATTCAATCAATGCTGGAAACCAGAAATGAAATGAATTAATGCTCTGTGGGTCAGTCACTATCTGAAGAGAGACAAATAGGGTTAAGGTTTCAGGAACAAAATCAGAAATGGCTGAAGAAACTTGGCCGGTCTGGCCGCATTTTAGAGAAAAGGCAGAGTTAACGTTTCGTGTCCAGTGACCCTTCCTCAGAACTGTTGCGTCTTTCCAGCAATTTCTGATTTTGTTTCCAATTTCCAGCATTTGCAGTTGTATGGATTTTTTTTCATTTAAGCTTTTAGGTTCAGACAAGGTGTCTGAAAGGAAAATTGGGAGCCTGAGAGACAGAGAAAGAGAGAAGAGTTTAGTGAGGGGATTTCAGTGCCAAGTCCTGTGTTACTGATGATACAGCCACCAGCTATAGGTGTAAAGGTGACACAGTGTATCAGTTGGAGATGTTTCAGAGGTCTCTTGCTTAGATCTGGATGAAAAATTTGGTCCGCTGGGGAAGTCTCGTAGCTATTCTGTTTTTGCAAGCATGTTACCCAACATTCCAGCTGGCCAAAGACAGACAATGGGATTATGGAGCTTCCTTCATATCCTCCCTCTTAAAGAAGAGGCAGTGCCCTATTTGAGTACAGCCAGCTCCGCAAAAGGCAGTGAGCCAATGATCTGCTTCTTGGAGTTCTGATGGAGGGATACGTGTTGGCCTAGAGACCAGGAGACCATGCCTTTCTCCTGCTGTGCAATCCAACCCACTACCTTGTGGATAGGAGCTCAGTCTATGCAACATTTACAGTTATAGAGCCATAGAGCTGTACAGCATGGGAACAGACTCTTTGGTCCAACTCGTCCATGCCGGCCAGATATCTTAAATTAATCTAGTCCCATTTGCCAGCATTTGGCCCATATCCCTCTAAACCCTTCCTATTCATGTCCCCATCCAGATGCCTTTTAAATGTTGTAATTGTACCAGCCTCCACCACTTCCTCTGGCAGCTCATTCCATACACACACCACCCTCTGCGAAAAAAAGTTACCCCTTTTTAAATCTTTCCCCCTCACCTTAAACCTACGCCCCTCTAGTTTTGGACTTCCCTACCTTGGGAAAAGATCTTGTCTACTTACCCTATCCATGCCCCCCATGATTTTATAAACCTCTATAAGGTTACCCCTCAGTCTCTGACGCTCCAGGGAAAACAAAGCCTCAGCCTATTCAGCCTCTCCCTATAGCT